TGAACAAAGAACTTGCTGGAGATTTGACACGAATACCAATATACATTGAGTGTTTGCAATTTGGCTCATATATGGCAAGGTCCCGTGTATAACTATGTTAATATTTGCTATTACAAAGACAAACATATGAAGATTTATGAAGTCTCGAAAAATCCAATGCATAGTTCTAAGAAATTGCATGTCACTTATAGAAATATCCCTCTTCCTCCACTTTATTATAATAAGCCGGGAACACAAAAAAATGAGGAAAATATCAGCTAATGAACTGAAAACAGATGGTGAAAGATGACTAGAACTCAAATCACATTGCTGCTCGATCTGCAAAAGTGTAATACTTAAGATTAGCTTAAAATGATTAATAGTATTACTCATATAAATAAAGTGTACCATCTTTTAAAGAGACTCATCCGCTAAAAAGTTCAAGTCAAGTATGCTCGCACGGGAGTAGTGCATATGTGGATGGGTAATCCTTGGGAATTTCTTAGGGTGCGCATGATCGCAAGGGAATAGCCTTGGGATGATGAACTTTTGGAAAGTTTCTCAGGTGTGTATGAGTCAAGACAAAGTGTGCGATAAAGGCTTATGTTGGTTTGTGAGGACAGTGTAGGGGGTGTCAAGGGTCCCAAACTTGAAGATAAATAAAGATAAAGTGGTAATAATCTTGTGCTACAGACTTATACTTATATTTATATATATAGTTATATTTACAGTTATACATTTGTTGAAATTAATCCAACACAAATTTGTATAAATATATGTAAATATTGTCTGAATACTTGATTTCAACGTGGAGGCCCGAAAGGGTGAAAATCATGTGACATTTCGGACTAATGTCCAAATCACTTTTTTTTTATAAATCTCTCCTCATCATTTACATTATAAAAGTATTAAGTTTTGGGAGTCATGAATCGAGTTCCAAGCTTTTTATACTAGAAGAAGAAGAATACTAGGTAGAGAGAGAAAAGAAGGATCCAACTAGGGGGAGAGAGAAAAAAAGCATTCTCAATAATGAAGGGAAACCTCCTATTTATAGGAAAAAGGGGAAGGGGTACAAATTTGTCTCAATGGGTCAAATGGGTAGATATGAGTCACATTACGGGCTAGTGTATTGGGCTTCCAGGAAAACAGTAGGCCGAGATCCAATACCCAACAATATACATATATCTTTTAAGATATATAGAGATAATGTATAAAACACGACGCTTTTTATATATAGCTTGGCACAATGTTTTTCAATAATTTATTTACCTAACTCCCTAACTAATTTTATATATAGCTTGGACATAATGTCATAATCTACATTTCATTAAAACATGTTCACAAAATTTTATCAAAAAAATTCATCAAGAAGCACCTCAAATGGAGGTGGTTGTAAGGTGGTTCCATAGGAGGGTCAAACCATTCAGTGGAATTGCATCTTCAAATGACTCTATCTGGGGAGGGAGTGTGGGTGGCAATGGCGGGGCGATTGTGACAAGGGGCTGACAACAGTGACGACAATGCTAACTAGTCGAGGAGGGGGCGGTCGTTCGTAATGTGGCAGAGATTAGGTCATTGGGTTGGTTGTGACTGTCACCAGGGCTTGACAATGGTCACTGGGCCGACGGTTAAGGCTGGAGTCACTTAATAAAGGGCATAAATGTCTTATTAGTTATGTGGTACAGAAATACAGAATACTTTTTTAGAACTTTTATGTCCTAAGTTTTCCGTAAATATTATTTTTTGAAATGATCACAAAACGATGCACCTAAAATGAGACTTTCTAAAGAAGAGGATTAAATATATGAGACTTGATACATTCTAATGGGACCAAAAGTGGCAAAAAAAACTTTTTTGTTAGCATATACTCCGTACTAGACGAAGTACCCGTGCGATGCACGGGATATATCTAGAAGAGAAAAAATGACTTGTTTAAAACTTTTAAATTGATAAGTAATCTAAAAAGGAGAGATAATAACACACTTAGAAGATAAGTCTAAAAATATGCATGACATTCCCAAATAATATAACAACAGTGTCATTAATATACCGAAACAGTGCTAAACTTAATAAAATAGTGCAAAGTACTACATAGTATATAAATAATTTATAAATACTCCATGTCAAATAGTTCAATAAAAATGGTTTGTCACATTCTTGTAGGAAAATTTAAGTAATAAAATCATCAATAATGACAATATTATGACATTATACTCCCTTAGGTTCTATAAAATTTGGTCAAATTTAATATTCTGGATCAATGATAATAAATTTTAGACAATGATTGCAGTTGCGCTGTATTGTATTCGTGTCAAACTCATAAAGTTTATACTTTTATGAAAGGATTTTTAAAAATAGAATATTTTCATACAATTTCCAAATTTCAAATAATTTTGTATAAAAAAGATATTGTTGGTCAAATTTGACCAACATTGATCAAGGGATCAAGGGGAGTGAATATGGCTAAGTTTAATTTGTGGGACAGGAAAATATGTATTGGATTGAAAATTCGAATCACTAAAGCAATGTGAAGATTATTAAGTTGATAAGATTTTGAAGATAGTAAAAAAATTATTAAATCATGAGGATATACTTAAGAAAATAAATTCAAAGTATTTTATTATTATCAGGTATAATTAAATAAAAAATAATGTGGACTGAATAATATGAAATTGCTCTAAATCGGGATGAAAACAGCTAGTGTACAACATCCAAATGTTAGTATTGTGTTTTTATTACATAAACAGAAGTAATTGCTAACATACTTGAAATGTATGATTGTAAAGTTTCAAGATGATTGTCCCTATTTAGGGGGAAATAGTACTTATGTTTTATAATTTTACATTTTTTTATTTTCATTTTGGAAAAATGTTCATATATAATTAGCGAGTTGTGATTTTATTCATATATAATTGAAATTAAATTCTTATAAAGTAGGTAACGTATCACAACTCAATTTCACATATACCAACTCTATATTATATAGATTTGAGTTGAATTTCAATTCATTTAGATAATTAACTACTTTCGTCTCACTAACATTAGGATATGAGGAGGTTATGAGGAGGTGGAGCGGGATAAGAAAAAGTGAGTTATGTAGTTGATATTGAATTAATAAAGAAAGAATAACGTAAGAATGATTTAGAAGCACACGCACTTTCCGAATGCATGAAATAATTTATGACCTGATTTATATGGTTGAATTATTGTATTGATATTGAATTAATGTCAACAAAATCAAATTTCCTAATTATGAAATAATGTACTCCGTATTATTTATGTTCAAATTATTCGATTGTGAATTTTAAAATCAGAACTTTTGTTGTTCTATTATGAATAGTTCGTTGCAAAAAATATAAATAGTCTTTTATGTGGCTGTTTTTATGATAATTTGGATATTATAATTATGCACATGCTGATCACACCTAGGGGTGTTTGTTATGATGTAAAGTAAACACTTTGCGTGTAAAGCGTGGGGACGTAAACATTTTACACCGTTTGTTTTAACTCCTTAATGTAAACTGTAGAACACTTTTAAAAAAATTACATCGTACCATGTAAAAATTTTACGTGGGTGGAGGGTAGTAAACTATTTTACACCTGTTTATATATATACGATGGAGAATACTGAACATGGAATTACGGCTTCTACACTTTGGTTGATTCGTAGTTATATACGGAGTATATGTAAGCCGCCAAATCCTTTGCCAAGGGTGCAATTTCTTTTGAAGGCAAACATAATTTCTGGGTATAAATTTATTTCTGCCATTTGCGTTTGAAGAAGGCAAACAATCTAGACTTATTATTCCTCACTGATAAATTCATTCATTAATCATTTTGATCACTGAAAATAATTGAAAAGGATAAATCTTGGAAAATTTACTTGAGTTAAATTAATTTACTTGAGTTTTTTTTTTTGCACGCCACTTTCCATGTTTTACTAAAGGGCTATTTATCGTTTTTTAAATATGTTGCATGTACAATTACTTTCCAAACAAACAATGTAAAGTTTTAATGTAAGAACTACCAAACAATATATTTAGACTTTACTCGTAAAATGTTTGTGTCCCTACACTTCACATGTAATTAGTTCACGTGTAAAATTTTAACGTGCAAACAACCAAACACCCCCTAGTGTCAATCACACTAAGATTGTTAATGTTTATGTAATTGATTAATTGGTTGTTTACATTATGGTTACGGTCATTAGAAATTTCTTTAGATATGACTGAAACTTAGACAAAGTGTACAAATAAGAGTACTTATATTCACAAAATAGGACTTATGTGATCTCATAAAAGTAGAAAACTTTTCCTATTAGGATTGAATAAGTCATATTTTAGTAAGAAAACAATGATAATCTTATTTATGCATTTTATCTATTTTTTAGTCATATTTAAGGAGACTCATCTATTAATATTTCCATTTATACTTTTTTCAGATGTCAATTCTGTATCAGTCTAAATTATTATAGTGTATAAATATATTATGCATACATTTTGCATACGAATTAAACATTGGGCAACCCGAAAGATTTCTCAATAAATTAGGCTTGCTAAATTATACGGAGTATATTTTTTCATAAATTAAGAATTGAAAATATTATTTTAGCAAAATTTTTCCTAATACATGGACTTATTTTTTATCAGATTTATATGATTGAATTACGATATTGATTTAATTTCAACAAAGCTAAATCTTCTAATGAAATACTGTACTTCATATTTTTTATAGTAAAATTATACGGTTATGAATTTTAAAGTTGAATTAATTAGTAGCAATGTTTAATGGTTGTGTTTTATGAAAATATTAATAAAATGTGTTTATTTCGTAACCGAAAGTTTCCTAATGAAATCTAAAATTTTGAGTAGGAATTTATGTGTGATTTTGTAGTTGTGAAATGTTATGGAACTTTAAATAAATCATACGTGTGTTTTGCATTCTATAATCATGACCAAATATATGGAATGTTTTTATTTATGGAAAATTTTTATTATTGTAGGGCCTAAATGAATGATTCCATGTATGGACAGGGACTAAAAGACTAAAATTGGTAGCAATACTTTGCACAATTTAATACAGAGTACTTAGTAACATAGGCGGCATTTTAGAACTTTGCATAAGGATTTCCAATTATGCCCCTTGAAATGGGCGGGATTTTTCCCTCCAGTTGTGGTGCAGCGACCGTTACTTTATATTATATAATGAAATGATAATACAGAAATAAAAGTTACCCCTGGGACCAGCCCTCCCCCCTGCTCAGCCCCAAATGGCGTCAGCCACCTCATTGCTCACTTTGGGCATCGCCCATCAGTGAACCCACCAGCCGATTTGCTTACACCAACCCATCAGTGTGGCTACCATAGTACTTGTCACGATTTTGAAGGCACCCCATCACTTACAGACAGGGTTAATTAATAATATCAATGCAGCATGCATCAAATACTTTTGCTTCAGTGGCTTCATAACCCTTATTTACTTGAAGTTTTGTCATTAGACAGCAAATTAGACACCCTCACCCCCATAAAAACAAGGCTTCATTCTCAGGTTTGTGCATATGAATCTCTTATCTACTCTTCTGATGCCCTATTATATTGCAACGTCCACCCATTTTGGGAGTCTCAATGAAGCCTTCATTCCGAACTTGGTAAAGAAGATCGCGTACAGAATGTGTAGCAATAACACAAAGAAAGTGGAGTTGATAATAAGCTGCAAATATGAGAGGTAGCTAGATAAGGCCTTTGCTCTATTAAGTTAAGAGAAGATTAATTTCTGAAGCAGAAGGAACATAAATAGGAGCAATGATTCAATCCATAGCAGTGCACCAGTGGAAAACAAGAAAAACAATGTTATATTATAAGTAATACGGAGTACATGGGATAATTAATGGCATATAAGTAGGCCTATACAAATGCAGGCTAGCCTGCTTAGCCAGCCCATAAAAAGAGCAGGTATGGAAGTGCATACTTAACCATCAGGCTGCTGGGTCAGTAAGAAAAACAGAACATGTAATAACGTTTGGCTTGTTTGCTCCGATAGGCCCGCGCCACATCTGTGAGCGTCAATAGCTTTTAGTATTATTTGTTATTTTTTATTTTAAGTTTATAATTAGTATGCTATTATGAGTTATAGCAAAGTACTTTTTTATGGTCATGCACATATATCTTATAATAGTATTTGAAGAACAGAAACAAGTTTACCAAAAAAAATAAATATATTTATTCCTGAATGGACAGCCTGGTGAATAACCTGGTCCATACTTATGAACGAGTGTGAACAAATTTGGCACATAAGATCCTAGCGGGATTGGCATTCTGGGTTTTTAGATAAAAATGTAAAGAGGCTGGTCCTGACCCATGGTAAAAATACTTCTCTACATCTAAAATCACTACTTTCTTACAAATAAGTTCTCCCCAATGTACTCTCACTCATAAACCAAAACCCATTTTCACAGGGTGATGCAACCCTTTTACCCTTAAGGTGACATATTCAGCAATGCACAGTCCACTGCAGTAGAGGAAACTCTTCAAATACATACCACAGTCCCAAAAATAGTGTATATGACATCCATTGTTGGAATTGAATTGCTTCCTATGGATGTGAGAATGTATGAGAGGGAAGCATGGATATTTAGGGTAATCTACAAAGCAGAGAAAAGACATCACAAGTGAAAATCATTATACATTGCAGGAACGAGGAGAAAAACACGGATAAATAAGGATAACTTAGCCATCACACTTATACCAGTTGGAGTATGTTTTCCCTTATTAAAAATGAAGTCAATAGCACATACCCTAGAGCACCTATTGCCCGAGCCTGCAAAATAAACAAGCACCAGTTACTACAAATCACACAATGGCTGGACATAAAGTTTTCTTATGGAGGGTGTAAGAGTGGAAGAGGAAACAATACAATTGCACAAAAGAAGATTGATTGCATCCAACTAGTGCGAAACCTGACAAAATTACAATTGAAACAATATTATGCAAGTAATGCAACCCATCAGTTATGTTTGGAATGTATAAAAGGTAGAGAGAATGTAAAAACTACTAAGAAAACTAGTTTTCTTTTAGAGCCCGTTCGGTAACACTCAATTGGTTGATTGGTTGAATCTGCTGAAATTGATGAAGTTCCGGCTGAAACGCTTGAATTCTATGAATCTTTTGAATTATGGAAAAAACTATTTTCAAAATATATTTTATTAATAAAGAAAAATTATATGAAAAATAGCTAAAATGGCCATTTATAATTTATACCAACTTCAACCAATTCAGTTAGAAAAGTAACTCGGACCTTACTTATGTTGATTATCACACAATTCAACGCACGATATCAAAAGTTACGTGTTGGGTAAAAAAGTTGATTGATAAGGTTGATAAAGCTTAAAATAAGGGTTACCAAACAGACTCTTAGTTTGGGATTACCTGGCAAATGCTAAAGAATATAAAGATTGATTATTTTAAAGAAAACTATCACATATTTTTTGACCAAATAAATGAAGTTGAATTTTTTAGTTCAAACTAATTTTGACTATTATTTCCGAGTGGCAAAAGGACCCTTAAGAAACAGATAACCTTTTATGGGAGAAAGAATGATTCCAATTCATTCAAATTTTTTCATTTATTTTTACAACATGGGACATAGTCTGTAATTCTCAGGGAATTTATCATAGTCTTATAGGGATTTTCATTACTAGAGTATTGATCTCAGCATAGCGAGGACATAGGGAGCCTACTGATTCATTACCACAAATTTTATAACAGGAAAAAGCACCTAGAATGATCTAAAAAAAAGATATTACATTCATCCCAAAAAAAGACATGTTTCACAAAGGTACACACATCTTTATAGTTTTAACTTTTAATACGGTACAAATAGGACTCTTTGTCTTTCAGGATGGGGGTAATAAAATATGAGTCAAGTACGATACCAAAGCATTTAGAAAGCAATGGTATGATTGCGTACCTCCATAAAGAACCCATAGTAAAACCAAGTAAACCATGCATTAGCTGGGTAAGGGAAGGAGAGGAAGAAGAAGTGAACTAATCAGTAACTAGAACATACTATTAGCAAAATGCATACAAACCAAAACATATGCGAAGTCGTAAGGCCAGCGATGACTAAGAAAAGAGGCAATCTTAGAAGTCAAATGCCACCTATTTCTACAAAGGAGCATAGTTTACAGCATGATGAACTTCTGACTTTCCATGAGAAATTTTATGTGCTCTTGTCCCATTATTCCCATAAAGAGAATCTTATGTCAACAGCATTGATGTCCCAAAAAATAATGTTGCAGATCAAATTCAGATAAGTACATGGTTTAAAAGGCGCTTATGAGGCGTGTTTTGAGGCATGCCTCACACGCATAACAGTTTTGAGGTGGGATCTGTTTTACTATCAGACTGTAACTTAATAAGGTCTGTGTAGATTTCATCAAAAAGACCTAAAATCTATTTGCCAAATATTCTTCCATTCTCTTCTTTCCAACAAGGTTCAAATAACTCAAACAACTCCACTCGTTTTTCGTTTCTTGTCATTTGAACGATAACAACAAAGTAACATATAACTTCTTTATTTTTTATTCTTATTCAAATTGCTCCAGGATATCAAAGTATCCAGGATCCAGCCATTGCTTCTCCATTTTTCTCATCTTAACATTTTTCTGTTCTCAAATTATGATGAATTTTATAAGCTTCCCTTAAAAGAGTTAAACTTGAGAAGTGGTCTTTGACGCATATTTATGACTCATTTTTATGTATGATTGATATTTAAACTGCTTATAATTTTAATTTTTAATTATAAAGGAAGTTCAGGTATAAAGTTTGAGGCATGCGCCTCACCTTGCAAATGCAAAATGCCTCATGACTTAAAAGTGCCTTTTTAAACATTGGATAAGTATTTAATAAAATTCTAAAATAATAAAGTCGAACAAGTCTAATATGGAGTACTTAATTAAAAGTTTCTAAAACATAAGTACTATTTATGACTTACAATGCAGTACATAGTTAAAAAAGTTGTACTTTGATTACACAAACTATTTTTTATGAGATAGGGGGTATAACTTTTCATTATCTTGGTGCATTACTACAAAACATATAAGAGCATCAGCTTTAGAATGACTGAAGAAAGAGGTGTGTTTATTAGTAGAGTAGTAGTTTTCTTTAGAATGTACTCTGGAGTCTGTAAATTTCACCATATTCAAAACTATGTTATCATTGCTCACCACATAGTTAACTGCTTTCACGGGTCCAGACAGCACAAACAATAGCACAAAAGTTGCCACCTGAAGAGATTGAAAAAATAAACCACTTTTAGAATGTATAACTATATATACTTAAAGATAGTTTTGTGTATAAGTGGAGAATTATACCATTATAGATTAAAAAATCATGATGTGTAATGAATGTGAGGACAGACCATGGTTTTTCTTCCTGCTGCAACACCCCATCTCATGGAAGATATTACTATGGGTAGTGCAAAAAAACATCCAAAGTAATTCTGTGAAAGAACTAACCGGGTAAGAATCATATGCAACTAATTATCCCACAATAAAAGAAGACACATGGCGCCTCGACGGCTCGACCCCCCCCCCCCCCCCCCCCCCGCCAAAAAAAAATGAAAATAAAATAAAGATTGCTGGATTTATATTTCACTATGAATGGATGATAGGTGCAAACCTTTGCTAGTGAAGTATATTCCAGCACCTCTCAAATTTAGTGAATTGTAGACCAGCATTTCACGTGTCTTTTTGTGTATTCTTCATAACATTTCCGCATTGTCTTTCTTAGCAGTTATTTGTTCATTATAACTTCCATAGGAATGAAATGGGTCATTTGTTTCGCAGAATGTAAGATCACCTTAGGTAATAAGATTCTTAGATTCCCCAAGTAATCCCAAAACATGAACCAACAATGCAACCTTACAATTTCACATTACTTTATCTAAGGTAATCTAACAATACCATATTGCTTTAACAAGGGAACCTCACATAACTTTAACCAAACGCCCCCCTAAGAGTTTTAATTGCATGTCTTCCATTAAACGTCAACCATGGGAGTACTGCCTAATTTATCATCAGAAAGCAATGAATAGGACCAAAAGAATTTCAAAAAAATGTGAAACAGGTAAACCTAGAACGAAATTATTAATTTACCTCAATTGCAAGAGAATTGCTCAATAGATAAGCTAACCCAGAAACAGCAGCGAACATGGCAGTCTCTACAAGCCTGAGAGTCTTCTGGAAAACGGCACCATCTTTCGCCAAGTAATCATACCCCTCAGCATCCCCCGAGCAGCTTAGTTCTTCTTTGCTGCTCCAATTTGGACTCTGGGCAGTCCATGCCCTGGGATAACTGAACCTGGAATTAGTGAAACTGCAGGAATTGTCTGTCTTAGAATCACGTGATGGAGAAAGAAACCGAGTCGGGCAGATATTTAATGTGCGTGGATGAAGAGCAGTTTCGGAAAGTCGAGGAAGTTTGGGAGTATAGTGGTGAAGCTTGAGGATATTCATGGAGGATCTTTTTGTTATGTGTAGTCGGAGAGTGAGATTGTACTCATATATGGTCACCAGCGCCGGGCCGGAGGGTACATGTTCTTTTAATTTGCGATTATAATCTGGGATTTTTATAGGTTTGAGTGAGTGTGGTTTGATTCCGTTTGGGTTTGTGGTTTCTTGTAAACATGTGAAAGTTTTATTCAATTTCTCTAGTTCGGTTCTGTTTTGCTCTATTTTTATCAGTCCGGTTTGATTCAGTTTAATACGGTTCAGAAGAAATACTATCAGGCTCAAACCAAATTCAGGGCCGTCTTTTAGAAGGTACAATAGGTGTTTGGCACCGGGGCCTACTCTTGTAGAGGGCCTCCAAAAATTTAGAGGGTAGTATTAGTTATAGGTTGATTTTTCTAGATTTCATGTATTATTCAAGATTTCAAAAGGCATATAACCTTTAAATTCTCTAATTTATGGACTTTAAACATCATAAAACTTATATTTCATTGAATTGTCTGTATTATTTGTATTTCATTGTCAAAATTTGCATTTTTCTTGTCTTAGGGGCCTCAATTTGCCATTTTGAACCGGGGCCTCCAAATTCATTAGACGGTCCTGACCAAATTGCATATGATCTGATTTTAATTTGGTTTAGTTCAGTTTGGTACGATTATGTTCGCTTAAACCAAATTGATATGCGCACTCACAAGACTTTTTTTAAACACGATACATTCGTCTATTTTTGTAACATATAAAGACAATTCGATAAAACTATAAAGACTTTAAACATTTGAATAAAACTCCTATCACTGACCTTTGAATCGTATGTGGATATGCTCTGAGTTTTTTTGCCGATCGTCTTCTTCGTCAAGACAAAATCGCCGTCGTCTTCCGTAGTTCCGTTACCCTTATCGTCACTTGTTCGGTTGTAAATCCACGATGCTCGAGTCGCACAACATCGATAGATTTAGAGGCCGTTTGGTAACCCTGTTTCTTGGCTTATCATCCATTTTCCCCACCAAACACGTATTTTTTTATTTCGCACACTAAATTTTGTATAGTAAGAAAATGTAAGGTTGAAGTTACTTTCGCGGTTGTATTGACTGAAGTTGTGGTAGGTGACCATTTAGTGATTTTTAGATATAATTTTATTTATTTGTTTTATTAATAAAAATACGGAGAATATTTTTAAAATAATTTATTTCTTAAATCGACAGAATCGACCAATTCAGCCAAAACTTCATATATTTCAGCAGAATTAACCGATTCAACCAAATTTGATATTACCGAGCGGGCTCTTAGCTTCTGAAGCTTTGGTGGCCCTCATCGTAGGTATAGTCGGTTTTAGAAGGTCACATTTGCTTGTTGATCGTCCAACATCGTCATCGCTTGTTGGCCGTCCATCGCCACCATCATTTAGTTCTCTTCGCGCACCGCGGCTTCGCTGACAATATTATATTTTATATAATAAATCTATTACATTTGCATATTATAGAAATGAGATTTATATTAAACGCAAATGAGTATATAACACCTAAAAGGAATGAACATACACAAATGAATGTTGAGCACATAAGATGTTTTAAATGAGTTTTGAATTTTTTTGGGAATTCAAACCAAAAATTGCTAATAATAGTTTTTTGGGAACTCAACTTCCCCATCATGTCCCAGTTTAGGCCTGCCAACCACTGCTAATGACATGATTTTGGGAATGAAATTTTTATCGTGTTGCTCTGTATGGGTCATGTTCTGTTGGCAAAATGTAAAACTTGGTAGTTTCTTTGGATAAGTAAAACCACTTTTCATCAATGTGTGTAATCGTAAAAAATCATGAAAAGCAGCATGGTTGATAGGTAGGGAGGTTGGGCTTATGTAACTTAAACAATATTCTAAACTTTTCAGTTTCCCAACTTCAGCCAATAAGGGCTTCATAGCACTTGAATGTCTTTTAATTTGCTTTCTTTGAAACCATACATGGATTGCGGATTTTGGACACTTGCATTGCACACTGCGTGATGTTATGTTGAACTATGTTGCTTTGTTCTTATTTACACAACTATGAAGTTTCCCTTCACTAGCACCGCATAACAACTTAACATTTATTCCTCTCCTATCATCACTGCTCAGCTTAGGCCTTGGACCTCTTTGCATTTCTACTGTACCTTGTTGCCCTTCGTCTTTTGTTTATGATGTGTTTGCAGGTGAAAAGGGGACGAGATCGAGGTCATCCAAAGGCACATCGTTAAGATCGAAGGAGGTTGCAAAACCAAAAGGCAATGAAGCCACATCGCTTCTTAACTTGTGTCCATTGAATGCTTTTATTGAAAGCTCCTTTGTTGTAATGAATGTGATGTATTTATAATAGCATATATTTTATTTTTTTTTGTTTTTTAAATCATCGGAATCAGCCAAAAACTTCATAAGTATCAACACAATCAACCAAAGTAGCCTATTTGGATATTACCAAAAGGGCTCTAATAGTTACTCCGTCCTATTTTACGTGTCTTACTTTCCTTTTTGGATGATTTCAAAACAAGTGTTACATTTCATTTTCTTGAAAGAAATACATGGTTTACATAATTTCACTTTACTATATTCAAATGTTAAATCATAATTTTTACATTTTTAATCACTTTATTAAAAACTGTGTCAAAACGAAAGCATATAAAATGAGAAGTAGTGATATAATTCTTATAATTAGAGCCCGTTTGGTAGCACCAAAATCGGCTGTTTTGGCTAATTCTGCTGAAATTTATGATATTCTGGCTGGAGTGGCTGTTTTGGCTGATTCTGCTGATTTAAGAAAAAAATATTTTAAAAATATATTTTATTAATAAATTAAAGAAAAAATTATATGTAAAAATAGCTAAAATGGTCCTCTACAGTAACTTCAGCCAATACAGCCAGAAAAGTAACTCCAACCTTACTTTTTCGGCTTATTACACAATTCAGCGCGCGAAAGTAAAAGTTACGTGTTTGGTGAAAAAGCTGGCTGATAAGCCTGATAAGCCGAAAACAGAGTTCTCCAAACGGGCTCTTAATTTTTCCACCACTTTTAATGGTCATTAACATTTACACAGACCAGTCAAATTTAACAAATGTCCGAACCACTGCACAAAAATGTCCGATCCCGGGAAAAGCGTGACCTTTGAGGCTTTGACAAAAACCCTAACAATCTGTGCACTGCGAATTACAAAAAGCAGTCTCCCTCCATTTTTTACCAACTCTCCTGCACTCTTCATTTAGGAGACTGCTCATTTTGAATTCCGATGAACACCACAGTGGACCAAGATCTGCAATGGCTTATCAACTGCTTGAATGCCATTCTTGATTCTAATCATCAGGTCCGATCTTTTGCCGAAACCTCCCTGCAACAAGCTTCCCTTCAACCAGGTAAGGACAGAATTAATGCAGGCAATGAACAAGTTTATACCCGAAAAAATACATTTTTTTTACATGATTCAGAGCTTGGCACAATTTGAGTGATCCGGTGATCTTGAATAAAGTATAAATGTCATTTTTTGAATTTTGATGGAAGGTTATGGAGGTGCATTATCCAGAGTTGCTGCAAGTAGGGAACTTCCTCTGGGACTGCGCCAGATATCCTTTCCTTATTTTATTTGAAATTTATAGAATTTTGTTAAAATATTTTATAATGTAAGAAGTAGGCCATATCAGTGTGATTTATTGTCATTATCAATTTCATTTCCATTTGTAAGATTTAACAATTTTACTTAGCTGCGGTTCTTCTAAAGCAGTTTATAAAGAAACACTGGCAGGAAGATGAAGTGGACTTTGAGCATCCAGTTGTTTCAAGTGATGAAAAGGTCTTCTTTCTCTTATTCATATTTAATTGATTAATTTAAACCCATTATCTCTGTCTGTCTGTTTCAGCAGTCATTGGGTTTTATTATTATCCTTCATTCCTTCAAGCTGTTTACATAATTTTCAAAATAATTACCCAAATGTATTCTACTGAAGTGAATGATGAAGCTCCACTAGGAACTTGCAGAAGGTCTTTTAGTATAATGGAATGCCATTTTCTCACATAGAATTGCTTTGCAACTTGCTGCACATGAGAGCTTTACTATTCTGCCTCAAACCATTCTGTTGATGTCTATTCTAAATAAACATGATGCTGTAGTCATTGGAATATGGTAGGACTGAAATATGAACTACTCTGTATTATGTTGGCTTCTTCGTGTTTCATAGTTTTAACTAGTGGCTTTTGTTTCCAAGTTAGTTTCCTTTTGAATGTTGTTGTCATTTGAGCTGAATCACCTTCTAATTGAGAAAGACGCAAGTTGAATTTGGATCTAAACAAGTCTTAAGGTTTAAATTTTGTTGTTTACTTTACACCAAAAGACACTTAATAAACTATTACAAGTAAAAAGGAAGAAAGAAAGATGAAAGAAACAAAAAGCGGATTTTGGTGTTATTTTATGATGTTTAGATTGTATGTAAAAGGAGCAGCTGAATCCCAAGTGGTCATGGAAGGTTCAGTTGATTACATTATTATTTGAAACATTTATTTTTGGGCGACCTGAAGTGAATTCAGTTTCTTTTCCTCTCAGAAATGCTGTTAAATTGTGCATTTTTTTATCTCAAGGTATTTTATTCATACTTTAGTTTAATTTTTTCAGGAATCTATTCGTCATTTACTCCTTTCATTGCTAGATGACCCTCATAGAAAGATGTGCACTGCCATAAGTATGGCTGTAGCATCTATTGCACATTATGACTGGCCAGAGGATTGGCCTGATCTTTTGCCAACACTAATCAACTCGGTTACGAATCAAACTAAGACAAATACCGGTAGGTACCTATAACAGCTCATGCATTTTAGCTAACATTGAAATACATTACTTGTTCTTTCTGGATTTTCTTAATGTATTACTTGGTAGGTGATGTTAGTGAGCTTGTGAACAGTTTCTTACACGTAGCCAAGTTTCAATGTTGCTTCTCAAAATATCCAAATATTAAATCTTAATTGTGATGTCAATATGCCATGCAGTGCATGGAGCATTGAGGTGCTTGGCTCTTCTCTCTGCGGATTTGGATGATAAGATGGTTCCACAACTTGTCCCTGTCCTGTTCCCATGCTTGCACACTATCGTATCGTCTCCACAGGTTAATTCATCCCTACTTTTTAGTTCCTTCTTTCAA